CAGAGGGAGAAGCAGACTCCCTGCTGAGCAGGGAGCCTGAAGTGGGACTCGATCCCAGGACTCCAGGATCATGACCTGAGCCGAAGGCAGTCGCTTAACCAACTGAGCCACCCAGGCGCCCCAGGGTAGTTCTATTTTTAACTTTTGAGGAACCTCCATACTATTCTCCAGAGTGGCCGCACAAGTTTGCATTCCCACCAATAGTGCAAAAGGGTTCCCCTTTCTCCGCATCCTTGCCAACACCTGTTGTTTCTTACGTTGTTAATTTTAGCCATTCTGACAGGTGTGAGGTGGTATCTCATTGTGGTTTTGATTTGGATTTCCCTGATGCTGAGTGATGTTGAGCATCTTTTCATGCGTCTGTTATTCATCTGGATGTCATCTTTGGAAAAGTGTCTATTCATGTCTTCTGCCCACTTCTTAACTAGATTATTTGGGTTTTTTTGGGGGGTGTTGAATTTTTTAAGTTCTTTTTATATTTTGGATACTAACCCTTTATCAGATATGTCATTTGCAACTATCTTCTCCTCTTCTGTAGGCTGCCTTTTCGTTTTGTTGTTTCCTTCGCTGTGCAGAAGAAGTTTTTTATCTTAAGGAAGTCCCAGTAGTTCATTTTTGCTTTTGTTTCCCTTGTCTCTGGTGACGTGTCTCGTAAGAAGTTGCTGCAGCCGAGGTCCCAGAGGTTTCTGCCTATGTTCTCCTCTAGGATTTTGATGGTTTCCTCTTTCATATTTATGTCTTTTATTCATTTTGAATTTATTTTTGTATATGGTGTACACACATGTGACTATCCAGTTTTCCCAACACCGTTTGTTGAAGAGACTTTTTCCCATTGGACATTCTTCCCTGCCCTGTCGCAGATTAGTTGACCATAGAGTTGTGGGTCCATTTCTGGGCTCTCTATTCTGTTCCATTGATCTGTGTGTCTGTTTTTGTGCCAGTACCATACTGTCTTGATAATTACAGCTTTGTAATAGAGCTTGAAGTCCGGAATTGTGATGCCTCCAGTTTTGTTCTAAGAAGGAAGTATATTGACATACAGGCCTACCTCAAGGAGCAAGAAAAGTCTTAAATATACAACTTAACCTTACACTGAAAGGAGCTAGAGCAGGCACAGCAAATAAAGCCTAACGCCAGCAGAAGAAGGGAAATAATAAAGATTAGAGCAGAAATAAATGATATAGAAACAAAAAAAAACACAGTAGAATGGATTAACAAAACTATTTTTCATTTTCAAAATGTATTTTGATCTTGGGGAATTGGGAGTAAAGGAAAAATAATCCTTATTTTATCATTGTCAATGCAGAAGACCACAAAAACTTCCTTCTTACCCAAAGCCTTTTTTTCAGTGGCTTTATTCTCTTGGCAAAGTATGAAATAATTGCACAGTATCAAAAGCTGAGAAACAAAAGAAAGATCAATTAGATGTAATAGTAATATACATTATTGCTAATCATACTCATCTCCTGGATCTATGAAAAATAGGATTTAGTGGATAAAAAAATCCAAGTGGGCTTTTGAAGAAGCACTTTCCTGGATTTAAATACATAGTCCCTACTGTGTTCGTAGCAATTGTGAAAACATGAACATACTATCTGCTTTATGTTGAGAGTGTCCAGTTTTTGGCTCTTGAAGCTGCTGCTTAGAGCTTCATCATGTTGTTTCGCTTGTTAAAGCAATTTGATAAAATAAGGGAAGGTGCTCATGGAAAAAGTTGATGTTTGAAATGTAGAATGCAATTCACATTTTAATCTTCTGTTCCCCCATTTTCCTTTTTGTAGTATGACTACGAATATGATGAGAATGGTGACAGAGTCGTTTTAGGGAAAGGCACTTACGGGATCGTCTACGCAGGCCGAGACCTGAGCAACCAGGTCAGAATCGCTATAAAGGAAATCCCAGAGAGAGATAGCAGGTACAGTAATTGTGGCTAATAAAAGCTGTTTTCAAGGTGCTTTGGGTTGTTTATGGCATTTTAGACAATGTTTTGGTGATATTCTAACTAATGAAACTCTGAAAACTCCAGTGTCTTAATCAGCCCCCTCTGAGGTTTAGCTGCTGCGTGAATCAGTGATTCAAGCACAACCCTCTGGTGGGGAAGGGCGGCCTCTTGGAGGTGACAAGGACAGGACTTCTAAAGAATAGGAAAGACAATGGCCTTTGCGTGTTGGGCTCAGTTGTGTCAGAGAATGGTTGATGTATTAGACAGATAGATGGGGAGTAAGCAGGATCAGAAATGGTTTGAACCCCACAGGTTCCAGTGTCCTGTTTCATACCCAAGGAGCTTGGAAGTCATCCCTCCATCTTAACAAGTGGAAAGCTGACCAAACTAAGACCAAACTAAGAATTCTCGGATCCACTGGAGAAGTGGAAGTCACAGGCCAAGCCTCTGCCCAAATTTGGAGGGAGAGTCATGGGGAGGGGGGGAGCACTTTTGTGCATTTTGCCTCCAGAAGCCCTACCAGACCCACACAGTGATATTGGAGAAAAATCCCCCCATGCTTCCGGCAGGGGGAAAGGGGAGAGAAACCATTTTGAAATATGCCACAGCTCTGTTCTTCCTGACAAGGCCTGACCTCAGAGAGACTATTTTTACCAGGACCTAACCGATGAGAGTGTTATCAGAGCCTAACCAGCTGGGGGGAAGGAAATACCCAACTCCTGCCCACTGTAGCCATCCTGCCCCAGCTGTGGGAGGAGGGAGACTGCAAAGCATTTGTGAGGCTCCCAGGCCGGGGGCACAGGCCCTCGAAGAGACTGAGACATAAGCATAAGATTATAGAATGCTTCCCCTCCTGGGATTCCTTTTACCTAATACATCATGCCCGACTTTCAGCAAAAATTACAAAGCATACCAAAAGACAAAAACACAGTTTGAAGCAAGCATCAGAACCAGACTCCGATATGGCAGGGATGTTGGAATGATCAGACCAGGAATTTAAAACAAGTTTAATATGCTAAAGGCTCTAATGGGTAAAGTAGACGGTGTACAAAAATAGAGGGAGTGCAAACAGAGATGGAAATCCTAAGTCAGAACCAAAAGAAATGCTAGAGATCATAATCACTAACAAATGAAGAATGCTTTTGATGGGCTGGACATGGCCCCCTCTCTGAGCTTGAGGATATGTCCATAGGAACTTCCAAAACTGGGGTGTGTGGATGACTCGGTTAAGCATCTGGTTCTCAATTTTGGCTCAGGTCATGATCTCAGGGTCGTGAGATCATGTCCCCTCAGGTCCGCTTGTCTTTGGCCATGGTGACAGGGTTACACGATCAGCTTTCTTCAGAAAGGATACTCCCCTGAACTCTCTGGGTCATCTGTCCACCCAACGTCTCCACTTGTAAGTTTCCAGGTTAACGTGGCCAAAACGGAACTGTGGATTTTTACCCCCAGATGTATTCCCTGCCTCAATGAAGGTTATCTCATTCATCAGCTGCTCAGGCCAAATCTTAGGATTCCTTTAGATTCCTCTCTCTCACTCGATGTCTCCTGCATCAGTAAGTCATACTGTTGTCTCGACTTCTGTAACACGTTCGCAATCTCCCCATTCTTGCCCATCGCCACGGCTGCACGTCCTATCTAAGCTTTCAGGTCTCTCACGTGGGCTCCTTATTGTAACCACCTGGTAACTAGTCTCTGCCTTCACTCTTTCCTCTCCCCCTACTCCAGCCTTCCTCAGAGAAGCCACAGAGATCTCTCTGAAGGGAAATCACATCATGTCACTGCTGCTTGAAACCCTTCAGGGAACTTATTGTAACCAGCACGAAACGCCGAGCCCTTAGCACAGACCTCTGCTTCCCTCTGTGGCCCCACATCCTCCCCGGCAGCCACACCGACCCCAGGCACACAGGGGCTCATTCCAGAGAACTCAGCAGGATTGCCTCATTTCTGTCAGTTCTCAATTCAGACTTTAATCCAGTAGACAGGCCTTCCTTACCTCCCCCATGCTGAAAACCACATCCTCCCAGTGTCCCAGGTCCCAGCTCTTTTTGCCTTTCCATCCTTAGTGTGTGACTTTCCCCAGAGGCCGCTTTGCCTCCAGCCTCCATATCTGCATTCGAGGTAGGAAGAAGAAAAAAGACAACAAACTTTCCCAGAAACGTCCAGCATACTTTCCCCTCTGTTCCATTCACCGAGAAAGTGACCACGCTGAACCCCAAAGGAGTCTAGGGACTCAATAGCTTTTTAGCTGGCCCTTTGTTTCCTGAAACAAAATCCTACAAAGAGGGAAGGACAGATGTGAGGTGGGCAAACAGCTATTGCTCTCTGCCCCACGGATGGTTTTCATTTTATTTTCTGTGATACTGTTGCAGAGTTTCCTCTTGGTTAACCGGTGAGATGTAGTTATGAATAATACTCTCATGAGATGATGAAATTATTAATGCAATACCCAGGGTAATATATATCAATTTGTCATATGAAAAATTTTGTTAAATATTCCTATAGGTTCTTAAGTAACACGTACGTAGATTCTGAAACAATATAAAATTTAAAGGGCTTAGCACTATCCAATTACTGCAGCCAACCCACCGATCTTTAGCAACATCCCTCCCCTCCCACCAGCAGATGAATTTAAGTAGGTAGTTGGAAGCAAACCACTTTCAGAATCCCCTTTGTAACTTAAGTTTATTCAGCTACCAGTGGGCATACACAGAGCACACCAACAAAGGTCCTGTTCTGTAGCAATGCATTTGGCAGAATGTGGGTTGTTTGAAAACACTCGCATGACAGGTGCTTCTCTTGAACACCTGGTGCCGGGCATCTCCTTATTACCTATAAAAGCAAAGTCTCTTATGTTATCATGAGAGTTGACACACAAAGTGGTTTTCATCTATATGCCCTGGAGAGGTTTTCAGGGTGCAAGTAAAAAAGATAGCAGTTAGAAAGGACAATTGCTAAGGTAATAGGATGCATGTCAATAATGCATGATCCAGCATCCACCACACATGGCCATCTGGAATGAAGGATCATAGCAACAACAACAGTTGCTTCTCTGTTTTCCTTCACACTTTAAAAGCACTTCGTTAGAGAATCGGAGTAGTTGCAGGAGAGAAGTGGGGGTGGATTCCTAATCTGTCCCAACTCGTTGTTCATCTCAGGTTGGCTTCCTTCTCTAACGTTCTGCATGCACCTGAACTATTTATATAGATCAGTTATTCTCTACCCCGCCACATATTAGGGCCAACTGGGGCACTTTAAAAAATACTGATGCTCAGGGGCGCCTGGGTGGCTCAGTTGGTTAAGCGACTGCTTTCGGCTCAGGTCATGATCCTAGGGTCCTGGGATCGAGCCCCGCATTGGGCTCCCTGCTCGGCGGGAAGCCTGCTTCTCCTTCTCCCACTCCCCCTGCTTGTGTTCCCTCTCTCGCTGTCTCTCTCTCTGTCAAATAAA